CTCTGGGGGGCCTTTGGCCCTGTCGGGCCTGTCCTGGCACATGCTACAGGCATGGAAGAAGGTGGTCGACGTGGAGCCGCCTTGGAGTTGCGAAGTACGCTCGGAAGCAAAACCAAGAAGCGTGCTTTTGCATCTGGCTTCCGAGGACACGCTGCCCAGTGTCAGGGGAGCGCCCTTAGGAAGTCACAGGAATCGTATCCTGGCAAGGTCCGTCTTGCTAGAGTCGCGGCGGCACGCGCATCGAAGTTTGGCACCGGACGAGGGAGGTGTACGGAGGTCGGTAGCCCCACCGTGGGGAATGTCTCATACCAATCTGGGGTGGACAGAACCCCCACCCTGACACGTCGATTCGTGAATTGTCCGTTTTCGGTTTTCGAGAGGGTGCCGCGGCGCCGCGGCCGTTATTTTCCAGGCTTGCGCCCGCCAGGTTTTGGCCCGAGGTCGTTTCACTAAACCACGTTTTGCTAAAAGGGATTACTGTCCATCCCCGAACCAACGTCTTGCCACAATCCGGATGGCGATTTGTTGCAGTGGTCGGTCTCCGATGGCCATGACAAAAAAACAGCGCTGCATTGAAGACCGGTTTCCAGGGATTGGTCGTTGCAGCATGGGCGGGCGATCATGACTGAGGGGCGAGGAAAGGTGCCTCTCTGGTATCCTGAACGCGGGCGCCAAAGGGACTCCCTTGGGCCCCAAAAGGCGCACGACAGGTGCACAGTTCTCTCTCCTCCCCCCTCATTCTCCGCCCCCCAGTAATCGGCGGCGAGCGATGGGGGTGCAGTGAGGAGGAGGAGGAGGAGGAGGAGGAGGAGGAGGAAGAAGACTAGGAGAAGGAGGAGGAGGAGGAGGAGGAGGAGGAGGAGGAGGAAGAGGCCTTCTCAGAAGGCGGCAGGAGGAGGAGGCCTTCTCAGAAGGCGGCGGACATTCTCATAAGCCCCTGTGGTCTTCCGAGGAGGTTTTTGCGTGTCCTCCGGGAAGGTTCAGGCAACTTCTCAGAAGGCTGGGGGACGCCCGAGCCTTCTGAGACGGCCTTCTCCTTCTCACTGCCCCCCCCCCCATTCACCCACCACCCCCCAGACAGCAGCGCCCGAGAGAGCTCCAGGGCCTGCGCCTCGCAGCACAGGAGGCCCCGGCAGTCTAGCCCCCCCTTCCCCGGCCCTGCAGTCGTCCTCCTGGCCTCCCGCGGGGATGCCGCCCCTCGTCTCCCCCTAGAGGAGGGGGCAAAGCTAACGACTTCGCCACCGAGGGCTTATCCCAGGGAGCAAGCAATAGCGAACATGCGAAGAAGAGCAAACGCCATAGACATGAACTGTTGGCGCTGCCCGCGAATTTCTCGGACCCGCGCTGGGCCCCCGCGGCGCCGCCTCATGCGCCGCCCCTGGCGTGCGGAGCGCGCCAAGGAGGGGGGTACAGCGCAGATCCAAGAAATCCGCGCGGAGCGCCAACAGTTTATGCGTATGCCGTTTTCTTGTTTTCCTAGGCCCTAGACAAACATCAACTTCCCCTCCTCCTCCTCATCCTCCTCCTTCTCCTCCTCTTCCTCTTCCGGAGGTCGCGCGAGTTGTTCCCGGATCGACGCCGGAGCCCCCATGGCGGCTCCGCCCGTGGCGCGTTCCGCTCGCCGGAGGTGGGGGGTCAGCGCCGATCTAAGAGATCCGCGCGGACTTCCAACAAAGGAAACTTGTGCATTTGGTTGTTCGCCGAATTTCGCCACCGAGGGCCCTATCGCCGATCTGCCGGCGATGTAATTGCCGCCGATTCCAGGCCTATGTTCACGAGCTGGTCCCCCCCTAACGTGTGTCGCCATTTCCTGATCAGTTCCGCCGTAACCTGGGCGGCACGGGGGAGGGGCGAGGGTGTCGGGCGGGGCTAGGGCAGGGATGCATCCGTTTTCAGAGCGTCCCAAGACGCTCTCAGAGCCTTCGGGGACGCTCCGAGGAGGCCGCGGCGCCCGATACACCCTGCAGAGCTGCCAGGCCCCAGAGATCCCCGATGCGTCCTTGTCCGATGTTGTCCCTGTCCTGACTTCTTCTGGCGGTGGGGCACCAGGGTTACGTCGGGCCTGTCCCTCTACAAGGGGAAATTTTCGAAAATAGTGAAACAATTGCCTTGGGGCGATTTTTTGAATGTTTTTTTGAATATTTGGGGGGGCATTGCTTGATTATGTTTCCTTTCTGGGCCCAAAATCCCCCTGGAGGTGGACGGGCCCGACCTGACGCCGGGGAGAGCGGGCGCGGCGCGACGCTGCAGCGCTGCGGTGGGCGCGGCGGGGCGGGCCGGGCCGGCGTCAGAGAGGGCCGCGAGGCCGCGCGCGCGCGGGCGCCGAGGGGTCAACGGCGGGCGGGGGGGGCGGGCCGGGCCGGCGTCGGAGGGCCGCGAGGCCGCGCGCGCGTGGGCGCCGAGGGGTCGGCGGCGGGCGGCGGGGGGGGCGGAGGGCGGGGGGGGGGCAGAGGCTCCGCGGGGGGGGGAGAGCGGCGCCGGGCCGCCCGAGGCCGGTGTCATTTTGGGGGGGGGGGGGGGGGGCGCTCGGCACGAGCAGGGAGAGGCAAAACTAGGCAGAGAGTGCTCTGGGGACGACGTTTTGATTGTCCTCGACGAGGAGGGCGAGGCAGAGCTACTCAGAACACGCTCTGGGGACGACGTCTTGACGATCCCAGACGCTTCGCGTGGCCCCACCAGGCGCTGCCCTCTTGCTGTCTCTCTTTTTCTCCTCTCGCTCCTGGTGCAATGCTGGCTCCTGCTTGTCAGCTGCAGCTTTGGACGGCGCGCGGCCCTTCCGCTTGTGCTCGCGAAGAAAAGTGACCCCACCAGCCCATCCAGAAACGATGCCCAGAGGAAGCGCCTCGATCAAGGAAGTGGGCAGCACACAGAGGAAGGGTCCCCCAGTGGAGGCCTCTTAGAGCGTCTTGGGTGCCTCGGAGAGCTTCTTGGGGCGCTCGGCACAAACATGAAGTTGGGCATGTCCCTCTACTATTCAGGACCATTCTGAAATAGTCAGACTATACTCCGGGGACGATGTTTTGATTATTCTTGATGTTTGTGAGTAGTGTTTGACTTGTTCAAACTCGTCTTCCAAGCCCCGCCTGCGGGAGGGCATGCCCGACCTGACAGAAACACTAGCAAACGTGGATGTCCAATGACGTGTGCGAAAATATTGTGATGGTGGGGGAGGGGAGCGTCCAGGAACCATGGCCCGCGGTTCGAAGTCCTGGGATGTGTGTCCCACTTTGGGCCCCTTTACTCTTGCCCGCCCCGGGCCGCGGTTGCCTCGTGGGCCGGGGCCGCAGCCCTGTTGATGCGTAGTGTGTAGGGACACGGTCGCCGTCGGCGTGGGGGCAGCGGGGGCAGGGTGACTGCGGAGGAGGCGGGCGGGTGGTGGGAGGGGGAAGGAGGAGGGCGACAGGACGGAGAAGGCAGAAAAGGCAGGAGGATGAGCACGAGGAGGCGGGGAATGAAGAGGAGGAGGAGCATACGGTGTAAGCTCCTCGATCTCACCATCTCATCCTTAGGGTCTTCTCATCACTCTCCTTTCTAAGAGTCCTCCCCCTTCCGTTCCCCCTCTCTCACCTTCTCGTCCACCTCGTCCTCCGCTCGTCCTCCTGCTCCGCCTTATCTTCCCTTCCCTTCTCACCCCACCTTCTCCTCCGCTCCCGCCTCCTCCTTCTTCTCCATTGTTTTCCTGCGCGCAGCCATTTTGGCTTGTGTCTCAGGGGCCACATGCGAGGGGCTTCCACCTGTGAGATGCTGCGCTTCTGCTGACTGTTAAGTTAGGTTGCAACTCCCGGGAGGTTGACTTGAGCAGCGGTTGCCGTGTATTTCGTTGGCCCCGACGAGTCCCGCTTCACCCAGTGTCCCCTTGATTTGGCTTTAGTATTTCTGCATTGTGCCCACGAAGATCTACCACCTCGATTGGGGGGTCGGTGGCCCTTACCACCCTTGGGAACCACCGGTTTCGACGACCACCGCTGCGCTGGGCTGACCCCGGGAGGGCAAGGACCCCAGCTCCTCCAATTGTGGCTGCAGGGGTCCCTTCGGAGAGTCTGCAGCTGACCAGGCTCGCGTCCGACAGTGTCGTGGGAACCGAACCCGTTCGGCCGCCGAGAATCCGAGGAGGAAAAGGTACCGATACCGCTACCCTTCGCCCGTCTTCCCCTTTTTGTGGCCTCCTGGGAGGCCCTCGTCGCCACGGCTGGATTCGCCCCGAGACCCTAATCAGAGCGTTCCCAGGAGAGGTCCGGGGAGTAGTGTTAAGTCGGGCCTGTCCCCCTACAGGAGGGTATATTCAAAAATAGTCAAAAACATTATATGGGGACGATGTTTTCACTACGTTTGAGCATTTTTGGAGCATTTTGGGGGTATTTTCTGCCCGGTGGCCGAACGCGATGCGGCAGGAGCGTCTTGCGCGCCCGGGTCTGGTCCCCCCGCGGTCCCCCAGAAGCAGCGCACCGAAGGCCCTTCTTGCCCAGGGTCACTCCTTGCGTGCAGTCGAGCGCTTCCGAGCACCGGCGACGCGTCCGCGTGACCTTTCGCCAGAGGGACCTTTGGTGCGGGCTCAGAGGTTGTGGCCCCAGCACTGGCCCGCGCGCTGGGCTTTGTGCCCTGCGCGGCACCCTGAGACCGCGCCCCAGAAGCCACCCATTTGCCTGCAGCGAAACGCTCTTGCGCGCAGCCGGTGGCACTCCCAGTGGACCCGACACTGCAGGAGCGGTGCAGCCTCGCCACAACTTGCGGCCCGAGCCCCGAGCCCCGAGCCCCGGCTTCCTCTGCTGCGCGTTTCCGAGCCGGGTCGGTGCCCCGCGGCCCGAAGCTGGGCGGAGACGCCCGGCGTGGAAAAAAGCCGGAGCGCCCGGATCGCCGGGCCCACGGGAGTTGCCTCCTGGCACTGGTATCGGCGGTGGACAGACTTCCTGCCCTGACACGTCGACTAGCGAATTGGAGGGTTTGCGAAAGGGAGGTCTGTTAAGGGGAGGCTTGTTCCCCGCCGATTGCGAGAGCCGCCCATGGGAGACGCGCTCTGGGCCGCCGTGGAGGACCTGGCGGACCGCTGGGCCTCCCCAGTGGGGTCCGAGCACGCGGGGCCGGAGGACCGCGCGATGTTGAGGCAGATGCTCTCCACGCCGATGCATTGCCGATGCTCGGAGGTTGCCAAAGGTGCCCCTGGCCCAAGGTGCCCCCAGCTTTTCGCTCAATTTTGGAGCTCCCGGGGACCCTCTGGACCTCGTGAGGGGTGCTCTGGAGGCTGTGGTGGCCTCCTTGAAAATCCTGGGGGTACCTTGGGCCAGGGGCACCTCTAGCAACACCCGAGATGCATCGGCGGTGCGGCGCCATCCTCCGACCCTGTCTGCTCGGACCCTATTTCTCGGCATCGCTTGGACGTGTGCACTTTTCTCTCGGCAAGGGCCCTCGAGGACCTCCTGGGTCCTCCTGCGGGCCAGATGCACGCACGACGCCGGAAAAATGCCCGGGGAATGGCTCCAATGGTCTCGAGGCGTGCGTCCTGTTGGTCTGGACCACTTCCCCCCGGTCGTTACTTGACGCTCCCGAGGCCTGGCGAGGGGCGAGGACCCCCCGAGGCCGAAAACGGACCAGATCCTGCCGCGCCAGTTGCTTTGAGGGCGTCGGGCCTCCGGGGACGTCCGAGCGATGGCGAGATTCGGAAAATGCACGGGGAGTGCACGGGCGAGGAGTGGTGGAGGAGGGGGAGGAGCAGGGGGAGGAGCAGGGGGAGGAGCAGGGGGAGGAGGGCGAGGAGTGGTGGAGGAGGGGGAGGAGCAGAGGGAGGAGCAGCGGGAGGAGGAGGCTGAGCATTCGCTGAGGGTTTGCTCGCTGTCGGTTGGTCGAGGCGGCCGAGGGCGCGGCGGCGTAACCCTATAGGAGGCACCCTTCCTCCCAGGCCAGTCCTGGGGAATCGTGGGCCTCACAGAATCTGATCCGTGGTGGGGTGTCTGCCTTGCCACAAGCGTTTCAAATTGCCAGCTGAGACCCTAGGACTACCCCCAGGGCAACTAAAAACGAAACCTCTCCATCGGTCCCTGGCGTACCTGGCACACCTTCGACAGAAAAAGCTACTCTAGGCAGGCACACCATCTGGTGGCCTTCGGCACGGGCCCTCAGGATCCGATCTCCGAGCACCGAAGGGGGCGCGGGAGGGGGGCCACGGGGCCAGGTGGGGGCTGTGGAGGGCCCACAGAGTCCTCCACTCTCCCACTAGGCGTCGGGGGGGGGGGGGGGGAGCGGCTCTGGGCCCCACGGGGCCCCGGGCCCCCGGAGGTGTCCCTCGGAGGTGTCCTCGAGCCCGTGGCCGAGGACCCCGACGTGCGCGGCAAATTCCAAAATATCCGAAATCAACCTGTACCTCTGAATGTAGGTGGCCCGATGCCAGGCTTCATGCTGATGCATCTGCGCCCCACGCTTAGCGTGGGTGTCCGCTAGAGTATTGCCTATGAAAGGCTGGGGCCCGATCTGAGCCCTTTGGCCCTGGTGGCGTGAGCTTTGACCTCGTGCAATGTGATTCCTAGTGGCCCTAGCCCTCCGTTTTCCTTTACGAGCCTTCAACAGCGCAGCCAGACCTCTTTGTGGGCTGTGTCTGCGCGCGCGGCCCACGCTGGGCCTCTCTCGAAGCCGTCGATCACGGCCGTGCAATCCGAACATATCCTGACTGGTGGGCAGGCCCGCTCGAGGACCGTGGCGATCGCCACCAGCTCACTCTTGTAGATGGACTGGTCGCTCTGGCGGCCCTCGAGCGGGCCGTCCATAGCATACTGCATCTCCTGCTGCTCGTCCAGCTGGACGAAGGCCCGGCCTCCTCGCTGAAGGGCTGGCAACTCACCGTACAGGAGGCAGCCGTCGGTGTAGACGTCACCGTGCGCGAACCCCATGAAGTCGCCCTCCACTGCGCTGCTGTCCACGGAGGGCATGTCCCACAGCCTGAACTCCTCCGCGGAGTCGGGCGCCAGGCCCCGTCCCCAGAGCGCCTCGGAGGCAGCACGCTGCGCCTCCGATACTCCAGGCCACCTCGCCGCCCGGCGGTGGCATATGTGATGCCCTCCCACAGCTCGTCTGTGTTCAGCTCTGGCCGCGCACATGAAGGTCCGGTGGCGGTCCGTATCTGCTCCGTCGTGGCACGCCTCACAGATGTTATCATGCGCGGCGCCCTTGCTGTATAGCCGTTGCTGCGGCCATGTGCCCCTGCTTCAGAGGATTCGCACTCTCGTCTGATGCTTCAGCGTCCAGCGTGCAGTTCGCTGTCGCTTGTGCAGCGCTCGCACGGGCTCGACGAACAGGCTGGTGATGCCGTGCTTCTCCCCGTGCTCGTCGAGCCCCTCCTGCTCGAGGCTGTCTTCCGTGGCCCTGCGGATGCGCTGCTTCAACTCCTTGATCGGGAGTGTCCTGAGGTCCAGGACCTCCTCGCCTATGGTGATGCTGTGGGCCGCCTGCGTCTGCCAGCCCAGCCTCTCCGCCGTCGCCACGAGAGCTCCCGCTGGCCCTCGCACCCACAGCCATGGGGTCTTGGCGCGACCCGCTCGGCATACCCACCTCTTCCAGGCACCCTGGAGCTGGCGCTGCAGGCCCGACTTGCCGCCGACCTCCTGCCACGCCACGGTCCAGTGGACCAGCGGCTCCATGTTGGCGCGGCTGCCTGGGCCCGCGTCCTCGGCCGAGAGAGTGCCGGCGGCGTTGACCTGCCCACGGTGCTGCCCCCGAAGGAGGTCGCCGCGCTCTGCCGCAGGTGCACCGGCGTGGAGCTCGCCATGCCCATGACCTGCGCCCCGTGCATGGCGGACGGCACCTTGCCCTTCCTGATGATCGCCTGCGCGGGGCCACCCGCGCGTCGTTTGTGCGCTATGCGGCCTCGCCGCGCTGCATACTTGCTCGCCCTCTTGCTGAAGGCGCTGACCCGTCGCCTCCTGCCCGCTGCTGTGGTGACGCCCAGGTGGTCTGCGTGCCGCACCATCCTGACGCCCATCGATCTCACGCGCTTGGCGAGGCCGTCCTGCAGCGCGGTGGTCGATGCCATGGTGACCGTCTTACCCTCCGCGCCTTTGGAGACCTTCATGTCCAGCCCCTCGAGCATGTCGATGAGCCGCTGCACGACCTGCGCGCGCCAGTGCTGCGCGAACATCCTCGCACCTCTCGTGACGACCGCGAAGAAGCAGGCACAGCGAAGAAGAGGCACAGCGATGCCCATGGGCCCCACGGGTAGTTCGCGGCCACGCCGTCGAGCTCCCCGAGGATGGCCACCTCGAGGCAGAGGGGCGCGAGGCGGCTGCCCGCCACGATGCCTCGCGCCCACCTCCCGCCCTCCGCGTGTGCATCGTCCAGGACGATGCGGCGCACCATGGAGTGGGTGCGCAGCACCATCTTGAAGATGACTCTGTTGAACCCTGAGCGGATTCCCGCCTGCCAGTCGAAGTACGTGACCGCGTACTCCATGCCCTCGGCCACCGTGGACTCGCAGAACAGCGCCTGCGGAGGAGGAGGAGAAGGAGGAGGATGTGGAGGAGGAGGAGCACGAGGAGGAGGAGGAGGAGGAGGAGGAGAAGGAGGAGGAGGAGGAGGAGGAGGAGAGGAGGAGGAGGAGGAGGAGGACCAGGAAGAGGTGGAGGAGAAGGAGGAGGAGGATGAGGGCGAGGAGGGGAGCAGGAGGAGGAGGAGGAGGACGAGCAGGAGGAGGAGGGGGAGGAGCAGGAGGAGGGGGAAGGGGGGAAGGAGGAGGAGGAGGAGGAGGAGGAGGAGGAGGAGGAGGAGGGAGGGGGGAGGGAGGGAGGAGGAGGAGGAGGAGGAGGAGGAGGAGGAAAAGGAGGAGGAGGAGGAGGAGGAGGAGGAGCAGGAGGAGGAGGAGGAGGAGGAGGAGGAGGAGGAGGAGGAGGAGGAGGAGGGGGATGGAGGAGGAGCAGGAGCAGGAGCAGGAGGAGGAGCAGGAGCAGGAGCAGGAGGGAGGCCTCTAGGACCGCGCCGACCGCGTGCTACTGGGCGCCCGCTGCTCCCAGGGCCCCGCGCGACCGCCGCTGCTGGTGGCCGGGCTCCTCGCGCCCGGGGGCAGCGCGGCGCTGCGACCGGAGGTGCCCATCAGTCGAGCAGTGGCGGCGCGTCCCGGCTTGCCTATATAGGCCCACCACTTGGCATCGCTCGGACGTGTGCATTTTTCCTTCGGCGAGGACCATCGAGGAGCATCCTTGATCATTTGGCGAAAAAAACACGCACGAAACCGAAACAAGCACAGGGAATGGACGTCCGAGCGATGGCGAGACCAAAGACCCAGAGATCCAGCGCACTGAAAGAATCGAGGCGGAGGTTTTTCGCCGTTTTCGGCCTCTGCGGGACTTCGCCGGGCCTCGGGACCGTCAGCAAAGGACTCGGGACGAAAAGCCGGTCCTGGGGAACCGGTCGAGATTTTCCTGGGACCCCGTATTGAAAAAAACACGACGTCGGATCTCTCGGCAATGTTCTAAGAACCTTTTGTGGTCTGCACGCGATGTTCTTAACAGATCTCTGGCCGAGACTGTCTTGTTTTAACACATTGGGCCTGTGCTCTAAGAACCTTGGTTTGGTTCTCAAAACATTTCTGGGTTCTACGAACATGTCGTGGTAGGCCTCTGGGAATGCCCAGCGACGATCGTCGTCCAGTCCCTCGGGGTGGACGAGACCCAGACCCCCTCGAATCCTGACACACATCACAACGCGAGGACTGCCCCCATCTTCGACCTCCGGGGGCCCTCGCCGGGCCTCAGGAGCGCCAAGCACCGACTCGGTGCGAACAGCTGGACCTGGGGAAGTGGTCCAGACCTCCGGGGCCCGGGGGCAGCGCGGCGCTGAGGCCGGAGGTGCCCGTCTGGGCGACGAGCGCGTGCAGTCTAGTCGCTCGGGGCGCAAGAGGCTCAGACCCCCTCGAGTCACGAAGAAAGACACGACGCGAGGCCTTGCTGTATTTTGGGCCTCGTGGGGGCCCTTACCGTCGGCCCTAAGTAGTAGGTCGACCCTGCCAGCTCAAGGGTACCCTGGTGTCCTGTGCCTCGCGACACGTGCCTTCTTACACTGCTATGGCCATGTGGCCTTCGGAAGGGTCTTGCGTCCTCTCGCGTGTCCTCTCCAATCGAGTCCGACTGTACCAGGCCGCGGGACCGTCAAAAAACGACGCAGGATGAACAATTGGTCAAGGGGAATGGGTCGGGACCCCTGGAGACGGGGGACAATGCAAACTCAGAGTAGGAAAAGGTACCCATACCGCCACCCTTCCCTCGTTTTCCTTCTTTTTGGGCTTCCTGGGAGGCCCTGGTCGCCACCGCTGGATTCGCCTCGAAGTCCTGGTCAGAACGCGCCCTGGGAGAGGTCCAGAGAGTAGCAGTATCGAGCCGGTCCGTTTGGGAGAATTCCCCACAAACGGGGGTCAGTCAGAGCGCCAGATCTTGCAGGATCCTGCAGGGCCAGGGTCGCACTCACCGGGGCTTGGGCGCAGGATCCAGCAGGATCCTGCAGGATCGGATCCTGCAGGGTCCTGCAAGGCCTGACTGACCCAGGTTTGCATTGACCTGGGCCAGTGTGTCCCCGAGACGAGCGCGTCCAGTCACGATGACGATGACGTCTACGCGCCCAGACCCCCTCGAGCCTTGGTTGCTGCTGGTTTTCGGCCTCTGGGGGCCATCGCCAGGCGCCAGCACACTTAGAAAACGGTTCTGTCCCGAGAAACGGGCCGAGACCTCCAGGGGGTCGACGTAACAACAAATCATGACGTCAGGGGTCTGAGTGCCTGGAACGGAGAAAGACATTGCGGGTACGCGTGTCCCTAATGCTTTTGAGCTCCGCGGAGCCCCAAAGCAATGCCTGCTCATTTGGGACAAGGTTTGCCGTCAGCCGGGTCCCATCGGACAGCACGTCTTGTCATGTCGTCGGTGTCGTCGGCAAGTTTTATGCATGCGATAGCACGTGCTGTCGACATGGGCAAGGTTAGCGACTCTTGTTCCATGTGACTAGGCACTGCTGTTGGGCATATTAGCCATAACTTCCGCCCCTGTCCCGGGCGTGCGAAATGAAGACCCAGACCTCCAGCGTATCAAAAAAGTTGAGGCGGCGGTGCTGGGGGCCCTCGCCGGGCCCCGGGATTGCAAAACAAACGGGACGAAAAACAGTCTCCGGGAAGTGGTCCAGAGCTCAGAGATAAAGTCGGGCAAGTCCCTCTACAGGTGGAACATTCAAAACTAAGCAAAACAACTACTCAGGGGACGATGCTATTTGGTTATCCTCTTTGAATGTTTCCCCACTGTGCGTCATTTGTCCGTCAAAATACGCGCTCTAACCAACCTGTTCTTGATAAGTGACAACCTCTACATCTTCGACGGTATGATTTGTTCAGTCCCAGTTGTTGTTCGTTCACTTCGGCATCCGCGGAAGTCATCTGGCCCCGCGGGTGCATCAAAACGGATCTGGGGAGAAAGGATGCCCCCAGGGAGGGGGTCGAGACCTCAATTCTAGGCCTCGCAAAACCAACTTGGCACCAAGTAGATGGGGTCGGGGGATCGCGCCGCCTTGCCGATGCATCGGCCATGCGGCCCCATGTGGAGGCCGATTTGCTCCACGCCGACGGCGCCGATGCATCGCCGATGCACCGCCGATGCGGCGCGATCCCCCGACCCCTTTCTTTGCTCGGACCCCATCTTGAAGGCCTCTACCCTTGGTCTTTGGGGCCGCGGACTGAACAAATCTCATCTGCGGATGTCAGATGGCGATGCCGCCCGCGCCCACGCGCTCTGGGGCCTCGCCGGCGTGTGTCGGCGCGCCCCTCTGCGCCGGAGGGGCGAACTTTTCGCACTGAGCGCCTGCGCCTCGCCTCGGGCCCCGGGGCCCTCGCAGATCGATCCGGCTTGGAACATGCCGCCGCGGGAGGGGGTCCTCAGAACGTGAATTACCTACCCCGCTTTCGCTTCCAGGCAAAACCAAGTCATACCACGCGCCTCCTCGTCAAGCGGCCTGACCAGTACAGGCCGTAGTTTGGCATCGCTTGGTATCTCTTGGAAGCGAGGGTGGTCAAAAGCGAGGCAGGTTTGTTTGCCCCCTAGGTCCAGGGCTCCAGCTGTGATTGTCTACGGCGCTGCACGTTTTTGCAGCGTCGAGTCCCAGGGAAGGCCGTGCGTGCTCCGGAGGATCACCCCGGCGCGCCGCCGCGCGTGGCCCGTTCCATGGCCCCGCGGTCCGGATGCCGAGGGGCGATCCCGTGGATGCGCGATGCCACGGGTGCGCGCCGCGTGGTGGCACCTCACACGTACAGTCGGGGCCCTCAAGAAGGAACCCTTTTGGTTGGGGAGGGGCTCCGCGTTCCTTAAGTGTTTCACAGCTTGCCTCAGGTTTTCCTCATGCTTTCGATAGGAAATCGAAGTTTAACTTATGGAAAAAGAGGGGACCTCGTTCCTTATGTAGGGTTCATTCGGTCAACGCCTCGACTGTAGCACGCCAGCCCCGTGTCCACGGGAGCTTCTGCGGCCGAGGCATCCGGACCGTGAGGCCGGCCCGGCGAAGGTGGCCGAGGTGGTGGCGGCGTGCGGCGTTAGCTTCCACGGCGGGACTCCTTTCGAAAGTCTGGCGGCGCCAGCGATCGCGGGTGGATAGACCTCCTACCTTGACACGTCGATTAGTGAATTGTCCGTTTTCGGTTCTCGAGAGGGCGCCGCAGCCGTTATTTTCCAGGCCCGAGGTCGTTTTCACTAAACCACGTTTTACTAAAGGGAGGTCTGTCGAACCCCGAAACGAGAGACCGCCCCGTCTTTCCCTCGCTTCTGCTCGGCAGCAGGTCGCGGGAGCCCGGTACGCCCTCGTACAGTCGGGGCCCTGAAGAAGGAACCCTTTTCGTTGGGGAGGGGCTCGGTGTTCCTTGATTGTTTCAAAGTTTGCCTCAGGTTGTCCTTAGGTTTTCGATGGGAAGTCGAAGTTTAACTTATGGAAAAAGAGGGGCCTCGTTCCTTATTTAGGGTTCCTTAGGTCAGCGCCCCGACGGTATGCCCTCGTAGCTCCGTCCTCGGGAGCCCCTCGGGTCGATCAGCGCACGGAAGTCGCAGTCGATGCAACAGCGCCGATGAATCGTCGACGAGCGACGACTGGCGCCGATTCGGGTCGATAGCGTCGACCAGCGTCGATTCGCACAAGCCTACAAGATGGTACAGCGAGCGGCTTGAATAAGGAACACTCACTTTTCAAAAGGGGCTCGGTCGTTCCTTGGGTTTGCATGCGTTCCGCTACCTTTGGCGGCGAGCCCCCCTGGTGCTCCTTCAGATGTTGGACGCGCGGGCTCATTTTGCCGATGAGGGGCTCGGCCGTTCCTTCGGACTTCGTAGATCTACTTGGAAGAAAAGGGGCTTCGTGCCTTATTTATCGTTCCTTAGGTCAGGCCGATGACTGCACGGGATGCTCCAACGAGTCGCCACCGACATGTTGGCCTCCGGAGGCCCAGCGCGGGGCCGTCGAGAGGCCCTCTTGGGTGGGGCCGGGAGGTCCTGTGGGGCCCACGGCGCGAAGCTGCTGCGACGTCGGCTCCGCGGCTCGGTGCGGCGGGCTCGTGCGGTCCCCTCCTCCCTCCTCCCTCCTCTTCCTCCTCCTCCCTCCTCCCTCCTCCCTCCTCCCTCCTCCCCCCTTCCTCCTCCCTCCCTCCTCCCTCCTCCTCCTCCTCCTCCTCCTCCTCCTCCTCCTCCTCCTCCTCCTCCTCCTCCTCCTCTCCTCCGTCGTGCGCTTGAGGGGGGCTGGGTACAACGCCAGCGCGGGCCTTCGAGGCCGAGCGCCCTCCCTTGCCTTCGCTCCCCGCGCTGTGGCCACCGGGGGCGCTCGTCGTCGCCACCGCTGGGCTTCGAGGCAGCTCGGCAACGTGGCCACGAGGGGCCCAGCAAGGGTCCGGCGACCGCTCTCGAGTGGGACCGGACACCCTCTCAGGGGCCTACTTTCGGAGGTGGATAAACCTCCTAACATGACACGTCGATTAGCGAATTGGCCGTTTTCGGTTCGTGAAAGGGCGTCACGGCCGCTAGTTTTGCGGGTCCAGGTCCGTCGGTTTCGGTCCCAGGCCGTTTTCACTAAGGGGAGGTTTACTAAAGGGAGGTTTGTCCACCGCCGATGTTTCGAGCCGCACGGGGCCCACGGCAAAAGCGGCCCACGGTGCGACACCCACAGCCAAGACGCTGAACCTAGAGAACAGCTGTGGGCTCTGGACGGGGCTCTGGTCTCTTTGGGCCGTTCCTCGGGCCTGTGACCAGAGGAGGAGGAGGAGGAGGAGGAGGAGGAGGAGGAGGAGGAGGAGGAGGGGGGGGAGCCTATTCGCGGCCGAGGCTTGCCGTGGCCAGAAGAAAGCCTCGGCCCCGACGGCTGCTGCGCCACGCGGCGTCCCGATGGCTTCGGATGGCCCCCTCGGAGAATGGCCTCGGAGAGTGGCCTCGGAGAATGGCCTCGGCGACTGGCCTCGGATGGCATCGACGGCGGTGCGGCATCCAGGCCAGGCACAGGGGACCCCCCACTGTGGATCCGGCCCAAGGCGAAGAGATGGAGCTCGTGGTGGCCGCCCCAACGCGCGGGGAGGAGGCCCCGCTGGAGCACCCCGCGACCGAGCTGGACAGATTCTCGGCGGAGCTCAGTGCTAGCCTTCGCGGCAGCATGGTGAAGAGTTGCACCTGGCTGTGGCCGCTGCACGACAGGGCTGCCGACGCTCAGATCCAGAAGGTGGCGACGTCTCACCTCGTTGAGGACGGTGTTGAGATTGACAGTATTTCTGTCGCAAGGCGCGTGCTGGCGAAGCTCTTCATCCTCGTGCCTCCCGGTGGTAGCCTCATCGTGAAGATGGTTCGAGACGTGTATGGAAGCAGGAGCGCCTATGCGATGTTTATGGGCTGGTTTTACGCTCACCAGCTATGGATTCTGGCTGCCATCGCTGCTGTGGCACTCGCTTTGCAGACCTGTTCAATCCAACTTGCCGGCGAGGTGATGAACTATGGCACGCTTGTTTGGAGTTGTTGGCTACTCTGGCGCGTATGGTCACACAGCACGATCCTAGGGTTCGGCGACCCAATCGATGGCGTCGGCTCCAGCCGCGTACACGATCATCTCCACTCCCCAGGCAGACCAGGCGTGAATTCGAGTTGCTTGAACGCCGTAGCACTTGCCTTTCTCACCGTGCTGTTCACATTATTCGTATTCTCCGTGACGTTCGGCTACGTGCAAATGCTAGCTTGGTTTGATTTCACCTGGGGTGCTTGCACTACGCAAGAGTGCCAAAGCGCTGGCACAAAGCACACACTACTCGGTGTCGCCATCGAGATCTCGGTGGCCGTCGGCTTTGCCCTCATCATGACGTTGCTGCGAGCTGTGGCGCGATGGTTCGGGCACTGGGCGGCCACGTGGCACAACTTCGAGTTTGCGATTGATCGGATACTCGTCGCGAAGGCCCCGTGGGGAGGCGAGGAGGAGCTGCCTGAGCCTCGGCCCGATTGTTCGGGCCCTCTCGGGGCGAGGTCCGCCCGGCTGCGTGTGCGCCTGCGTCCCGCGGGGCCCGGCTCCCACGGGCGAACGCAAGACGGGCGGGGAGGTCTTTGAGGATGTGTCCCGGGACGCGGGTCGGCCGGAGGGGGCTTCGGCAGCAGATCATGTGAGCCTCGTGTGCCCTTTGAATTCCGTCTTTCGCGTCGACTGGCGTCGATTGGCGTTTGCGAGTCGATGAGATAGCGCTGGTTCAGTGTCGGCCAGCGTCGATGAGCGCCGAGTTCGCGTCGACAGCCGTCGATTCGCAGGAGCCGACAAGAAGGTATGGGAGGCTCCCAAGAGTTGCCACCGAAGGGGGCGAGATCAGAGCAGAGTCAGCGAATCAGCTGCAGGCGGCTGATTTTTCTGCCGCCAGCGGCGGCCATCTCCCTCGGGCGTGGCGCAATGGGGGGTGGCGAAAGAGGGGGGAGGAGGAGGAGGAGAAGGAGGAGGAGGAGGAGGAGGAGGAGGAGGAGGAGGAGCAGGAGGAGGAGGAGGAGGAGGAGGAGGAGGAATAGGAAGAGGAAGAGGAGGAGGAAGAGGAGGAAGGGGTGCATCTGTAGTGCCCTATCGTGGCTCTGAAGGAGCCCACCGGGGTCCGAAAGGGGCGCTAAAGGTGCACGTTCCCCCCTCCCCCCTTCCCCCCATGTATCGTCCCCCCAGCGAGCAACGCCCGACTGCCTAGGAACTGGCTTGTCGTCGGAGTTGAGACCTACATGAGGCAGATGTTGTACACCCCCCTTCTCATGCCCCGCCTTTCGAGCGACCCGGGAACCATGTAGCACGGGGGTGAAGGTGTCAAACCGGCCGAGGTCTGGACCGACAATCCGCTCAGTGCTTGTCGAGGCATGCCCTCCGTGATTCCGTGATCCATCTTGTCGGTTCCCCGAGCCGCGCCCAGCTCTGACGCGATGAGGCGGGGGGAGGTAAACCCGAAGTCCCACAGAAAGACGCACAGATGCCAGAGCGTGGATGGACGGAGGAGGATGTCGGCAGCGCGCCCGGGAGGGCGAGGCAGAGGGGGCAGGCCTCCTCACAATGGATCGGGAGGTCTCTGGCCTGCTGCGCAGCTCTCGACGTCTCCTCCGGAGGCGCCCAGGGCTCTGCAGAAGCCCCGCCGCCTTCGGAGAAGCCCCGCCCCCTCCCACGTCCCCCCCTGGGCGCCCCCCTTTGGAGTGGGAGGAGCCAGGGGAGAGAGCGGGGAGGCGTACACCCAGCTCGTGGCGTCCGTGGACACGATCGGGGCGTTCGTGCTCTTCGGCCTGCTCTTCGTCACGCCGTGGCCCGACGCGGCAGGGGGCGACCCCGCGGAGGCGGCCACCCGCCGGCTGCGCCGGCTGCTGCTGCTCCTCCTCCTCCTCCCCGCCTCGTCCTGTTCCGTCCGGGCGCGTCTCCCGTGCCCTCCGTCCCCATCTCCACTCCCCTCCTCAGGAGCGAAAGAAGGACGTACATGAATCCACGCTGGTTTCGAGAGTTCGCATTGCGCGAATGTTCGTATCACGCGGCAGGTCTCGCGTTTCAAGGGACCGTGTTCATGTACATAGCTGGGCGAGTACGTCCTTTGTGGGCTCCCTACCTCCAAGGGCCCAGCATCCCTGCTCGTCCGCGCCCTCCTTCGACTTGCACGCCACCCCGGCCTTAAGGAGTTCGTGCACGCTGGCCGCCAGGCGCACGGGTCGCGGTCGCTCCCCTCCTCGCCCGCGTGCGAGCCCGAGTCCTGCGCCCTCCTGTTGTGCTACATTGCGGTTGTTTCTCTCTCCTCCTTCGTCCTCCTCGCTCTCTGCACCCCTCGCCCTCCTCTTCTTCGTCATCATGGTTACCATCGTGCTTCTCCTGCTCATCGTTCTCCTGCTCTTCCAGCTCTTTGTCGTCGTCGTCCACTTTCCATCCTCAATTTCCCTAGTTGGCCGACGCCGACTGCTCGGACGTGCTGTTCTACAGCGTCCTAGGGACGAACGCATTCGAATGCGTGATCCGCGGAGTCGGCCTCGACCGGCGCCGTGCAGTTTACAGGACGATGATGAGAGGCCCGCTGATGGTGACACCATTCATCAGGAGTGGGGGTGTGAGAGATTGGGGCCACGGAAGGGGGGGGGGGGCGTGGAGGAGTAGGAGCTAGCTAAAGCGAGGAGGCTGAAGAGGATTTGGAGTGAAGAAAGCGGGCGGGGGGGGAGAATAGACACAGAGAGAGAGACAAAGGGTGAAACAAATGAGAAAATCATAATAGAGATGGAGAGAAGAGAGAGAGAGAGAGAGCGAGAGAGAGAAAGCGAGAGAGCGAGAGAGCGAGAGACAGCCAGAGAGAGAGAGAGAGACCAATACGATCACGAGAAATATAGTTCCCTAGAGATATGGAAAGAGAGAAGGGGACAGGAAGAGAGAGAGAGAGAGAGAGACAGAGCGATAAACAGAGACGGCAAGAGGGAGAGAGAGCGAGAGAGCACTAGCGAGAGAGACATAACCAGAAAAGGATATCTGATCTGGAGGAGGAGACCGACTTCAGTAAAGCCAGGAATAATGGACGATGCTGCAATGGATCCCCCTCGGCCCAAGTCTCGTCTTCAGATTTTCCTACTGGCCTGCTTCATCATAAGATGCGGCCTTTTGTTAAAGGAACACCCAATCGGCCTGCTATCCCGGCGAGACAACCGTTTGGATACGGGAGTGTCGTTGCATCTTACCGAGTTATATGGATTGCGATCCGTTAGGCGATTCGTCTGGCGAGAGACTTGTTTTGCAAAAGGAGCCGCCCCCTCCCCCGTCGGTGCAACTCATGCAGGAGCTTACACGACTGGCTCTCTGCTAATTTGAGCAAGTCTGGAGCGGGAGACCCAGTTCGAGAACGAACCACCTTCGTCCGTTTAGCCCTTTCGTCGGTTCAATCTTCGCGCCGTTCAGCGGAGCGTGGGAAGGAGCCTCCCTTCGACATGTTAGCACGTAGGCATGTGCGCCTGTAAGGCGAAGGTCCGTGGCGTGACGGCGATAGCCCCATGCTGGAGAGGAACCACCTTCCATGCTTGTATTGAGTTGGGCCTGTCCCTCCACAGGAGGAAGATTCTAAAACAGTCACACACATCGCCTGGGGACTACTTTTTAGTATTGTTTGACTATTTTGGCATATTTTTTGGATAATTGTAATGTTTTGTCAAACGTCCCCTTGTAGGGGGACAGGCCCGACGTAATCCTCGTCAACCAGGCAAGGTGTGCTGCAGAGCCTCCGCGACGAACGCTCGCGAAGGCCAGGGCGAGAGCCCCCGTTCTGAGAAGCAGCCGCCCTCCGTGCTTGCAGCGGCTGCTGGCCTTGGACAGTACAATGTACACACTGTTCATTTTTAAGTCTTCGGAAGTTCTTTGACTTTCTGGGGGGCCTAGGTCCTTTCATTTCTAAATGTTCTATCCTGGGCCTCTTCCTGGCCACTAGGGGGCCACGAACAATCAGAAACGAGCACAGGTAGAAATGAGCGCGATTAGAAATGAACGACGTGTGCGCGGCGCCAATGCGAGCCCCATTTTGAAAGCCACAGGGGTTGGCAAATTTCGCATTGCCGCAGATTTCGAACTTTCGAATCTGAAATTTGGGAGATCCACCCGTGAAATGCTTGGAGATCTCGAATTTCGGGCCCACGGGGATGGGGAGGTCTCGAGCGAGATACCCTGTTCTCCCTGCCGATATGCCTGGGGGCGCGACAGGGAGGAGTGAGAAAGAAGGCCGACGATCAGAAGGTGGAGGATGAGTGGGGAATGGGGGAGGAGGATGAGGAGAGGAGGCCAGCGTATATTCAGGATGCGTCAACGATGCTGCAACGGAGGTCTCTCGCAGGGTAGGGGATCCATACCTCCAGCGTCCTGATGGTGTTCGAGTCACCGTACCCAGAAGCTCTGAACCCCTTCCCCAGGACAGTTTTTCTCATCCTGGTCAGTTTTTGTTGCGGTCCCCCAGTCTAGGAACAGTTTTGGGACTCCGAACGTTGAAGGGAGTCTCCAGCGCGATCTTTTCGACTCGCCACAAGTGTATTCGAAGAAGTATGAGGGGGGTCTGGGGTGGACGAAAGACGGGGCGGGTGGACAGGTGGGGTCACCAACTCGGATCGCCAGAGTCTCGCTTCGCGAGCTCGCTTCGCCCAGCTTGCTTCGTCGAGGCTCGCTTCGCTGGGGCTCGCTTCGCCGGGGCGTGTCGGGCGAGCGGGACCCTACTGCGCGGGTCGGGTTGGCGGGCCACGCGATAATCGGACGAAGCGAGCCGGCAAGGTTAGCTGGTCGAAAAAAGCCGGGCGAAGTGAGCCGAGCAAAACAAATTTCGGGCGAAGCGTCATTCGGGCGATTCTTAGCCGGGCGGAGTGTTTCTGGCGAAGCGCTGGTCGAAGCGAGCTAGGCGAAGCAAGACCCAGACGCAACGAGATACGGATTATGTGAGGTTGCTCCAGAAAAGTGGGCACCTTATTGTGATGACTCTTACTTCGATGAGCAAGGTAACGACATGTTTGCCAGCGCATACCCCAAACAGTGAGTTTGTGCACACTGGATCTGCAAGCTATGTGGTGCAATCCGCCTTGCAGAATTTGAAGTCGTCCTTTCCCTTTCTACTTCTCGCGCAATCATCCCACCCTCTCACCCGCCACTTGTTTTGAACAATCCATGTGGTCGCGATTGCGGTGACCACGTGGCAATGGCTTGGCTTGCGCGTCTCAGCGGCTGCGCTAGCGCGCGCGAGCTCACGCGAGGAGCGGCCAGTTGATTCGTCACCAACGACGCGGCCGCGATGGCGCTTACCAGCGCGAGCTTCCCAGCGCTTCTCAAAGGCCGTGCTGGCGCGTTGGCACTTCAGTACAGGTCGATGACTCGGGCGGGCGTGGCATCATGATGACGTCGGCAATGCTGGTGGCGATAATGATTGTAGAGATGGTTGTGGCAATGGTGACGATGAGGACTGCATAGCAAATGACGGTGCCGATGCTGGTGACGACGATGACAGTGTTGATGCCCATGTGTTGCTGATGAAAGTGATCGGCTGATGATGGCGGCAATGGCGGCGATTGGCGATGACGGTAACGTCGGTGATGCGGTGGCGTTGACGTGGGCGATGGTGAGGAAGTGAATGCGTGCGGCAAGGCAAGGCACCTGGCCCATCTTCCGTTGACCAAGCTGTATTTGGTGTTTCTGTTTTGGGTTTGAAGAACTACATTTCGAAACGCTCTGAAACAAAAACAAACCGCATTGGTTTTGGAAGGATCTCGACACGCGCGTGGCGGCGCGTGCGTGTGGCATCCATGTTATTATGGGAAACGGATTCGTGTAGCGGGTGTATTCGGCGCGCGGTGGGCTAACAAGACGGTCTTGGGCAAGATTGTTGAACACCATCGTTTTCCCATTCGGTATTCGCAAGTGCGTGCGGGCTGAACCTTTGCAATCTCTGCGATGGAAACCATGAGCGGTGCCGAATTTTGATGTTGAAGTACTTCCAGAATTTGTGTGTGTGTTGGTATGGTTATGGCATACGCGTAAACGTGCGGGTGTTGAACAGTTGTGCGCGCATGGGGGATGACGGGGGGGGACGAAGCCTGGCCACCCGGTATGATATGATTGCGCCTGCAATCTGAACGACGAGGCAGGATCGTGTATAATCTGCGGTGTCCTTCAGGAGCGTCAATGCCCGGGGGGTGGGAGCGGCGGAGATGTGCTGGAGCTGTTTTGGTCGGGGGAATGAAAACCTGCGTGGTGGATGCCAGGTGCGCACGCTCCCGGTTTAGCCAGCGGGCGAAGCGCCCACGAGGCGGCCACGGGAGGCGAGTGGGCGAGCAGTCCACACACGACGCGCCCACGGGGTGCCCAAAGGGCGGCCGCGTGCGCCGACCGGGCGGAAGCTCGGAAACGGCAACCAGCGCACGAGAGCGGCCACGGGCGGCGGTCTGGCGAGGCCCCGAAACGCCAGCCGGCGAACGAGCGGCCACGGGCGGTGGTGGGGCTCACAAGCTTGGAAGCGCCCGCCAGTGCGTCAGCACTGACGTGGACCTCTGAGTGCTGCTTCGGGAATGATCCTTCGGAGGCCCGCGCGGATGTCTGACCCCCCCCCATGGCGGCTCCGGCGCCAGAGGAGGGGGAGGGGGATCCAACGTCGACCCCCGAAGTCCACGTTCCTTTTACAGTTGCCACGAGGGTTACAGTGGAAACCCATGCCAACAATCGCTCTGCTGGCCTCCATGGTGCCCTGGCTTTCTTGGTTTCGATGGTTTTGCAATGGACAGCGAGACGTCTCCACACCAAAAGTAAATCGACGTCCTGGAAACTCAGGAGAGGGTTTTTCCCAACCATCCTGGTGTTGGGTGCTCGATTTGAAGAGACAGCGCCCCGCGTCCCTCCTCCTCGTCCTCCTCCTCCTCTCCTCCTCCCCCACCTCCCTCCTCTCCATTCCTCCTTGCGCTTCACCCACTCAGTTCAGCGCTTCGTGGCCCCATAGGGAGCTCCACCGAAGGTCCCAGTGGGACCGCCCGCATGCGTCAGCCACCACCCAGCACAACCCTTGCTCCCTGCGTTTCACCCTCCCAGTACAGCGCTTCGCGGCCCCATAGGGAGCTCCACCGGAGGTCCCAGTGGGACCGCCCGCATGCGTCAGCCACCACCCAGCACAGCCCTTGCTCCCTGCGTTTCACCCACCCAGTACAGCGCTTCGTGGCCCCGTAGGGGGCTCCACCGGAGGTCCCAGTGGGACCGCCCGCATGCGTCAGCCACCACCCAGCACAGCCCTTGCTCCCTGCGTTTCATCCACCCAGTACAGCGCTTCGTGGCCCCGTAGGGGGCTCCACCGAAGGTCCTGCTGGCATCGTCCGCATGCGTCAGCCACCACCCAGCACAGCCCGTGTTCCCTGCGTTTCACCCACCCAGTACAGCGCTTCGTGGCCCTAGAGAGCTCTACGGAAGGTCCCAGTGGGACAGCCCGCATGCGTCAGCCACCACCCAGCACAGCCTTTTCTCTTTGCGTTTCACCCGCCCAGTACAGCGCTTGGTGGCCCCATAGGGAGCTTTACCGAATGTCCCAGTGGGACCGCCCGCATGCGTCAACCACCACCCAGCACAGCCTTTCCTCCCTGCCATTCACCTACCCAATACGGCGCTGCCCCATAGGGATCTCCACCGAATGCCCTTGTGAGACCGCCCGCATGCGTCAGCCACCACAGCACAGCCCGTCGTCCCCGCGCTTCACCCACTTAGCATAGCGCTTCGTGGCCCCATAGGGAGCTCTACCGAAGGTCCCAGTGGGACCGCCCGCGTGCGTCAGCCACCACCCAGCACAGCCCTTGCTCCCTGCGTTTCACCCACCCAGTGCAGCGCTTCGTGGCCCCGTAGGAGGTTCCACCGAAGGTCCCAGTGGGGCCGCCCACAGCGCTAACCACCACCCAACACAGCCCTTGCTCCCTGCATTTCACCCACCCAGTACAGCGCTCCGTGGCCCCATAGGGAGGTCCACTGAGGGCCTTGCTGGCATCGGCCGCATGCGTCAGCCACCACCCAGCGCAGCGTTTCGTGGCCCCATAAGGGGGCTCCGCCGAAGGTCACAGGGGGACCGTCAACATGCGTCAGCTACCACCCAGTACAGCGCTGCGTGGCCCCATCAGGAAATCCACCGGTGGTCCCAGTGGGACCGCCCACATGCGTTTGCCACCACGCAGTACAGCGCTTCGTGGCCCCATAGGGGAGCCACCGATGGTCCCAGTGGGACCGCCCGAATGCGTCAGCCACCATGCAGTACAGCGCTTCGTGGCCCCATTGGGAACTCCACAGAAAGACCCCATTTGCACCGCCCGCGTGCGTTGTCCACCATCCAGTACTCCAGTTCGTGGCCCCATTGATTGGGAGCTCCGCCGAAGGTCCCAGTGGCACCGCCCGCATGCGCACCCACCACCCGGTAAAGCGTTTTGCGGCCCCGTAGGGGGCTCCAGTGGTCCGCCCGCATGCGACCCCCCACCCGGAACAGCGTTTCGTGGCCCCATAGGGAGCTTCACCGAAGGCCCCAGTGGCACCGCCCGCATGCGACCCCCCACCCGGAACAGCGTTTCGTGGCCCCATAGGGAGCTTCACCGAAGGCCCCAGTGGCACCGCCCGCATGCGCCCCCCCTCCCAGTACAGCGCTTCGTGGCCCGATAAGGGAGCTCCACCGAAGCCCCCACTGGCACGCATGCGTCGGCCACTACCCAGTACAGCGTTTCGTGGCCCGCTAGGGAGCTCCACAGAAAGGCCCCAGTGGCACAGCCCGCGTGCTTCTCCCCCAACCAGTGCAGCGTTTCGTGGCCTCATCGGGAGCTCCAGCGAAGGGCACCGCCCGCCTGCGTCCGCCACGCCCAGTACAGCGTCTCGTGGCCCATCGGAAGCCCCACCGAATGCCCCAGTGGCACCGCCCGCATGCGTCTCCCCAACTCATTACGGCACGCCCCTCAAGCGTTTCGTGGCCCTATAGGAAGCTCCACCGCAGGCGGCACGCACAACGCCTTGTTCACATCTGCGTATGGTTGGGTCATTCGCCAGGATAACTGTGGAAGGTTTCTTGTGGTCGAGCTCCTACTGCACGAATAGCTTTAGCTTTGCAGGAGGGCCCTTCTGTCGTTCGTGCCCGGGCCCTCCGCTCCGCACCGTGGGGCCCGGGGCCCTCGGCAGACGGGCTCATCGGACGGGGCTGGGACGAGGATCATTCCTTCTCCTCCATCTCCTCCTCCCCCTCCTCCTCCATCTCCTTCTCCTTCTCCTCCTCCTCCTTCTCCTCCTCCTCCTCCTACTCTATCCTCTTCCTCCTCCTATCCTCCTCCTCCTCCTCCTCGATCCTCCTTGATCCTCCTCTATCCTCCTGTATCCTCCTCATCCTCCTCCTCCTCCTCGGGGCTCGGATTAAGTCGGGTATGTTCCTCTACATCAGGAATATTCAAGAATAGTCAGAGCATAGTCAGGTTACGATTGTTCGTGCTCTTGTGATACTGGTTGACTATGTTTTGTTTTTTCGATTTTGATTTCAAGATCCGCCTGTAGGACGACATGCCCGGCTTAAGGCTAGAACGAGGAGAAATCCGTTCCAGACTTCTCGATCGATGTCAGGGTTTTCCGGAACGCTCTGGGAAGGCCGCGGCATCCGATACATTCTCCAGAGCCGCGGGATCCCAGAGGTTCTTGATGCACAGTCAACCCGCATGGTAAGGATGGGCAACCTTCCCAAGGGTACCCTAGCATCCCCTTCGCCACTGTCGTTGGCTGCGCCCCGCTCGAACAGCTTCGAAATGAGCGTTTCGGGCCCTTGCATCCTTACTACGCATCCTTACCACACGGGCCGACTGTATCTTCACCCGATTTGATCCTCGTCCTGGACTGGTCTCGGTTGATGCTCTTGATCCGCGTCATTGTGGCCATACAGTCGGGGCGCTGAAGAAGGAACCCTTTTCGTTGGGGAGGGGCTCGATGTTCCTTGATTGTTTTAAAGTTTGCCTCGGGTTTTCCTGCGGTTTTCCATCGGAAGTCGAGGTTGACTAATGGGAAAAAGGGGCCTCGTTCCTTATGTAGGGTCCCTTAGGTCAACGCCTCGATTGTACCTCGGCGGCGGGTCGAGGGAGGGGGGGGGAAAGGCTCAGCGAGAGCGTGCCTTCTTTAAAGGCTCGGGAGGCCTCCGACCTTCTGGATAGTGTTCAGGAGGGAAAGAAAACACACAGACACAATTCATCGTCGACCCCCAGGAGAATATAGGCAAATATGGGAAGTGGGGGGGAAGACAAAAACCCAGAACATCTAGGAACATATGGCGAATATTTTCATTTGTGTGCATTTTTTTGTGTGTCCTGGGGCCCCTTCAAGTGTTCTTAGACCTCTTCAGAGACGGATCGGGAGAACGTAAGACTCGAGTGCAGGGGAGAGCCATGCCAAGAGGCGCCCTGCTTGCCTCCAGGGTGCCGCGGGTTCCTTGGGTTTCTGGGGTGTCGGTGGTTTCGCTATGGAAAGCGTGACCTTCCCGCACCAAAAATATCAATGGACGTCCTGGGGTCTCAGGGCTGGCTTCCTCCTGGAAGGTTGCTCGTGGTCGAGCCCCTCTTGCATTGCACGCCGGAGCTCGGGTGATTCGGCGCTTCTTGACGAGCGCGTCCTGGAGTTTGTTCCGAGCGGGTCTTGGCATCTCCGTGGGTGGCCCTGTCAGGCCCACCCGAGTCTCGGGTCGGGCGACAGGGGGGGATAGCAAAGGGGGGTTTGAGAATCAGCTCACGTAGCTGATTTTCCCGGCGCCTCCCGGCGCCGGAGGCGGCTATGTATCGAGGAATGGGCCCCTCGGTGAGGCCGAAACCAGCTGCATGCAGCAGATTTTGTAACCCCCCCTTTCCCAATCCCCCCCTTTCGCCCGACCCGAGAGTCCCCCGAACCCGGGCCGGACGTCTCCCCAGGCGGAGGGCGGCTTCTGGGAGGGGCCGACGGGCTTCCGAGGGGCCCCGCCGCCGCCTTTGAGACGGCCTGCCCCCTCGATCACTTCCCCCCCATGGGCTCGCCGCCGAATGTTGGAACAGAAATAAAAAACATTGTGGGGGACCCCCCCCCCCCAAAAAAAAACAAAAAACACACAAACAAAAAAACACAAACAACCACAAAACAACAACACAACAAAGCACCAATTCACACACACAAATACACACAAACACACACACACACACACACAAACAAACGCAAAAAAAGAAACACAAAAAACACAGAGTCTGTGGGAACAAAACACAAAACAACACAACACACAACACACACACACACGCCGAGAGGATCCTCACCAAGTGCGTCCTCCCTATGGCCGCCCGCCGCCTGAGCGGCCACAGGGTGCACTTCATGGGAACATGCCGCCTGCTCGGTGATGCCTTCAACGTCCTGAAGCGTTTGCTCGTGCTCGCCTTCGCGTACGACGCCGACAGCGTCGGGGGGCTCAAGTTCGTGCTGGCCGGGGACCCCTGGGAGGAGGCGCCGCTCACCCCCCCACCCCCGCCTCTGGCCGTGATTTTGCCTACGCCGAAGCTGGGCGTCTGCACGACGTCGGACATCCCTGGAGGCTCCTGGACATCCTCTGGGCATCTCCAGAGGTCTCCAGGCCCTCTGGAGGGCCCCCGAAGAAGCTGAGCTTGCGGAGCTTGGGGCGTCGTGCACAAGATCCTTGCCTCGACCGTCTATCCTCAATCCTCGACCCTCCTGGAGGTATGGATGATCAATGCTCAATGTGGAGGCTTTCGGACACTGCCGCCAGTCTCTGCTCGAGGCATCGAGGGCTTGCTCCTCGCCATCGTGGTCGTCATCCTCCTGCTTCTGCGGGTCCTCGAGACGCCTTGTTGGAGGTCTGTTCGATGGGCGGCCACATGGTGCGCAAAGCTGTTGAGAATCCGATTGGTGACGATCTGCGTTTCTGGACGAATGGCGTGGAACACGTGTTGCGAAACCATGTTTTTAAATATGCTTTCGCGATTCTCGATTATGACTCGATTCTGAAATCCTTACGACATGTTCGGATATGACGACGCGCGCGTGCGCACTTCGTCCCGTTAATTCCAGGAGAGTATCGAGAACTGATGTTTTTCGCTAAACGAGCCCGCGCGCAAAACATTGTTCCCAACCCTCCTGCGTTGGGTACTCGTTTTGAATGAAGCACTCTGGTCTCCGTCCTTCTCCCGCCTTCCCTCCTCTTTTCCCTCCTCGTCTCATCTGTCCTGCTCGTCTCTTACCTCGTCCCTTCTTTCCCAACCCTTCTGCGTTGGGTTTTCGTTTTGAGTCGAGCACTGCGGTCGCACACTTCTCGCCTTCTTTCCCGGCCCCCCTCCCCTTTTCTCCTCCCTCTCACATCGCTTCTTCCTGCGTGCCAGCTTGCCTCCGACCTGGCCATCCCTGGAGGGCTGCGATCGGCGAGACTGCCGCCACTTTCGAGGGATGCTGGTGGGTCGAGCGGAGTGACGTCCCACGCAGGCTCAGATTAGACCTCGCCATCCTCGTGGGTTTTCAATCTGCGAAACTGTCGCCACTTCCGCGGGCTGCTGGGGGATCCAGTGGAGTGACGTTCGACGCAGACTCAGATTAGATCTCGCCGTACCTGCGGGGCTGCGATCTGCATCTGCGAAGCTGTCGCCACTTTCGAGGGCTGCTGGGGGGTCGAAGGGAGTGGCGTCTTACCCAGACTCAGATTCGACCTCGCCCTCCAAGTGGGGCTGCGTTCTGCGAAGCCGTCGCCTCTTTCTAGGGTTGCTTGGGGGTCCAGCAGAGTGACGTCCCACGCAGACTCAGATAAGCCCTCGCCATCCCTGTGGGTCTTCGCTCTGCGAAGCTGTCCCACTTTCGAGGGCTGTTGGGGGGTCCAGCAGAGTGACGTCCCACGCAGACCCAGATTGGACCTCGCCATCCCTGTGGGGCTTCGATCTGCGAAACTGTTGCCATGTTCGAGGGCTGCTGGGGGGGCCCAGCGGGGCGGTGTCGCGGGCCGCCCGCAGACCTGGCGGCGCGCCTTCGAGCGTCTAGCTCTCGCAGTGAAACGTGCAGGATAGAAGCAGGGAAGCTGGCGGGCGATCTAATTAGGCCTCGCATGCTTCTTGCACAGATTGCACGCCAGTTTTATCATTTTGCCGAGCGCCGCGGCGACATGGCGCAGGCAGCGCTGCATTTTCAGCGTGCCACCGACAAAAGCAACACTCTCCCGATCTCCTCCCGTCACTTTCGTCGTCGTCTTCGTCTGCCCCTTGCCACCGTCCTTCTTCTGCTGCCGCGCTGACGGGTCGCCCCCCCGTGCGTCCACTTCCTGCTTTTCGTTCCCGCCCCCATGTCCTCCTCAAGCCGGGGCCTTCGTTCCTCGTCCTTCTGTTGTTGTCTTGTGAACCGTGCCACGTGAGTGCGTCCCATGCAATTGCACGGCGTAAAACGGCGCCTGCATCGCCATTGTCCTGGCAAAAGTTCGGGCCAAGTCCTCTTGTCACTTGATGCAGTTGGTCGGCTCGGCTGCGCTGAATTCGGTCAGACCGGGCTCCATATACACGAAGTCACGGCCCGGGAGGCTCGGCAGAGCGGCTGCCCACGGGCTCCATTGGCCCGGCGGCCGCCCCGAGTCGGCTGCACGCAGGAGTGGCCCTGCGCGGGCTCCGAAGAGTCGCGGCCCAATGGCGGTAGCAGAATGGCAAACTAGATTATAGTTCGCCTTTTTGTGGGCGACTATATGCAGCCACGCTGGTTCCGGGCAGGCTGTGCTGCCCGGCGGAAGGGGACGAGGAGGGGAGAAGCAGGCAGACGACGACGAACGCCCAGGCGGGAGGCCAGGGCCGGCGGGGCGGGCGGGCAGGCAGAAGACGGGCCAGGCGGAGACAGCAGGCAGGGAGCAGGAGGAAAGGAAAGGGAGGGAAGCAACGAGCAGAAGCGAAGGGAGGGGGAGGAGGGGGAGGAGGACAAGGAGGAGAGAAAGCAGCGGCCGCAAGCAGACAGGCCGGGCCAGGGGCCGGGAGAGAAGAGCCGCCCGCGACGAGGCTGCGGACCCTACGGCGGCGACCTGGGCGGGGTGGCCGCCCGAACCCAGCGCGATGCGGCTTGGTGGGGATTGCCCTCTGCGGGATCCATCCACCGCCCCGCCGGGGAAAGGCCGGGCGGCGCGTGGGAGGGGTCGCCGGCGCGACGTTGGCGAAAGGGCGAGGGGGGCGCCCGCGCTGCCCAGCAAGGGCGGGGGGGGTGGGCGGGGGGCGCTAGGCAGCGCAGGGGGCACCTCACACGGCGTCTGCCGTGGAGGCCGCCGTGGCCGCGGCCAGGCGGGCCGCTGCCACCCCCGCCCCTCCAGACAGGGTCTGAAGGCGCCGCAACACCGCCCGCGCGTTCTCCCTGTGCAGGGAGACGGAAAGTCGCTGGGCATGTTGGTCCGCAACCAGTGCGGCGTCTTCCCCCGTGGCGTCAGCCACCCGCTTGGCCAGGACCCCGAAGGCCCTGCGTGCCTCGCGGCCCCACCCGCCGCCGTGGGTTTCCACCACCATTGGGGGGAAAGTGAAGCCCTGTGCCGCGCAGAGCCGCGCGGTGTCCTGGTGCTGCCTTTTGAACTCCTCGTGCCGCTCCGTCGCTGCGCTTGACGAAGCGGCCGACGCGGCGAGGAGGTCGGCGCGCAACCCTGACGTGGCGGCAAAGTCCCAGGCGGCCGCCGTGCCGTTGCGCCACCGCGGCAGGTAGACGTCGGCAGGGCGGCGGCCGTTGTCGTCCACCTGGGACCCGCCCTGCTCGCCCCCGGGGTTGGCCTCCCCGGCGGGGCGCGCGGGTAGCAGCCCCGGGCGCTCCAACTCCGCCCCGGCGTGGCCGGCGGCCAGGGCGTCGAAGAAGGCCTGGTTGCGCAGGGCGTTGTGGCGTTTGGTCCGGTCGCCGCGGCAGGCGCAGACCAGGGCGTGGTCGCAGAAAACGTCCATCACCTCGCCACAGGCTGGGCAGAAGCACTCCTCCTGCAGGAGCTGGACTCGCAGCCGCCTCTGCAGGCCGACCTGCATGAGGCCGTGCGGGAAGGCGGTGCCGGTGGCCTCGCAGGGCGGCGCCTGGAGCCACGCGGCCGCGCCTGGGGCTTGCACCAGAGAGAGGTGCGCCTTGCCGGCCAGGGTGGAGCCCGCCAGAAGTCCGTCGAGCGAGGCGCTGTCCACCGCGTCGGAGAGGGCCTTCTGGTTGCCGTGCTGCGCGTGGTCGAACACCACCCGGTCGGCGTCCCGCACGACTTCGTTGTGGGCCTGCACCGCAGCCGCCAGGCTACCTCCGTCGCGGTCGGGGTTGTTGGAGTAGCCGGGGTAGAGCTGCCGACAGAGGTCGGTGCTCTTCGCTCTGGAAGCGATGTAGGCGGCGGCGGCGTGCTTCGCGGCAGAGCGCAGGCCAAGTCCTCCCTTCCTGAGCTTAAGCTGAGCCTGCTGCCAAGAAGCGTCGGAGGGCGAGCAGCCGCTCAGTTGCTCAAGGCAGGCCCGGACAGCGTCGTCCATGGCCAGCAGGGAGGCGGCGTGCGCGGTGGGCGGCACCACGCGCGCGGAGTAGCCCAGCTTGCAGAAGGAGGCGCACTGGCGCAGGAGGTGCAGCGCGACCTGCGCGTTTTCGAGCTCCCCCAGAGCTTCCAGCAAGTCGGTGGCGCTCGCGACCCGCTGCTTGGTGTGCTCCGCGCAGAAGTCCGCGTCTCCCACTGGCGCGCCGAGCAGCTCGAAGCTGCGATCGGTGCGGAGGCGGAAGCCCGGCGGGAAGCCGTCCAGAGACACGTCGGAGGCGTCTCCGCCAGTGGGGACCACCTCACACTTGCCCGGGCCGGTGCTCAGCTGGAGGCCCACCGCGGCAAGGCTGGCCACGAGCAAGTGGAGGAGGCGCGCGACGGCCGGCGCGTCGCCCGCGAGGCAGCCGTCGTCCAAGTAGAAGAAACTCAGGTCGACGGCGCCGTCGGCGCCGTGGCGCGGCGCGCGAAGGGCGGCCTCGGCGGCGCGCTGTAGTGCTAGGGAGAACAGTAGGGGCCCCAGGGGGTCGCCCTGCTGCACCCCGCACTCGGAACGGACTGTCTGTTTGCCCAGGAAGAGAGTTGACGGGCGGGAGTAGCACCAGTCGGCCCAGGATGCAATTGGTTGGGTACGTTACAGGGTAATTTTGCAGAGGATGAGGGGGTGCGACCGGGTTCGGGCCTGTCTGGGATTGTATAAGCTCATATTTCGGATGGGCGATGGGGTCGAATCGTATGAGAATTGTGTTACGGAGAATGTGCACCGGTAAGCCCGGGGGGGTGGGAATCATATTTTTCGGGAAACAAGAATCTATGTGCAAATTATGGGATGCAGTTTTTGTGGTGCGATCTATGTGGCGCCATCCAGGTCAAACAATCGACGTGGTGCAATACATCTGGCCCACATACGTGGAACAGTCTACGTTGTACCATCTCTGTTGTCGGTTATTTACAATGCAATCTATGTTGTGCAATCGATGCTGTGCTATCTACGTTGGGCGACCCATGTTGTGCAATCTTCGCGGTGCAATATACGTAGCGTACTTTTTTACAAAAGTGAGTAGTCAACTCCACTGCTCGCGCAATCATCCCACCCACCCATCCGCAACTTGACTGCGGAACTCAAGTGGGGACGACTGCGCTGACTGATCGGCGCTGGCTGGCGTATCGCTGCGGCCGCGCTAGCACGCGCGGGCTCGCGCGCAGAGCGGCCAGTTAGCCTGGCGCGACGGACGCGGCCGCGGTGTCGCTGACCGCTAGGGACTCTCCAGCACGTTTCGCAGGTCGCGCTGACACTCAGGCGCGTCATTGCGAGTCGGTATCTCGGGTGGGCGCGGTGTCACGGCGACGTCGGCAACGGCAAATACGATGATGATTGTAGCGACGCTTGTGGCTAGGATGACGATGGCGACGGCAAGGCCAATGACGGTGCCGATGCTGATTATGCCGAGAACGATGTTGGTTTCCACGCGTCGGAGATGAAGGTTTTGGAAGGATTTCTGCATATTCGCGCGGCCGACACGCGCGAGTGGCCCGCATGTTGTTACTTGACAGGTATCGTGCCCCCCCACCCCCACGCACGCGCGCAAGGGAGCCCGATTGATGTTGACAAGGCGCGCGAGACGCACGCTCACTCGCATTTGATTGAGGCGTGGGAAGCCGTTGTTTCTTCAAAAACTCGCCAGGGCGAGCGTGCAAACGTTTTTGTTATCGAAAACGGGTGTTGCAAAACCATGTTCTTATATAGTTCTTCCGGGCACTCACTTTACCAACGTGCGCGAAACATGCGTTTTTTTGTTGAAAACGACATGCGTGCGCGACGACGCGCGCGTGCAGAGCGTCCCGCTGTTTTGCAAGAGGCGCGTCCAAACTTATGGTTTTGATTGGCGGGTGCGCGCGCGTAGGTTTTTGTTTTGCAAATGGCTTTCGGGGGGGTGGATATCGTATGGACTGGCATGATACGAGTTTATTTTGAAGATGGACGATGGGGCAGGAACGTAATAGCAATACACACGTGCGGGCGGATAACTCCAAGGGGTAACCGCAGAGGGTCTTTAATGATGCATCGCCCCCCTAAGCTCTCGGCGGGGAATAGAAACTGGTCCCTCCTCCTCCTCCTCCCCCTCCCTCCTCCTTCCCCTCCGTCCTCCTCCTCCTCCTCCTCCTCCTCCTCTTCCTCCTCCTCCTCCCATTAGGAGGAGGAGGAGGAGGAGGAGGAGGAGGAGGCCGCCAGGCGTTGAACGATGGGATTTTTGAGCACTTCTGATGACCTCTGATGCATCCGCCGACAAGAAGAAGTTGTTCCCAACTATTGTCGGCGTCCCAATCCGTCAATAAGCCGTCGGACAATTATTCATGTTCCCATTATTGCCGGGGGGGGTATCAAAGACCCTTTGGGGTTACGTCTTATTTTTCTGTTAGACCGGAGAATAACCAGCCTCCTCCGCATGCGACCACCCCCCATGCTCGAGCAAACATCCCACCCACCCACCCGCAACTTGGTTACAAAACCCTTGCTGCGTCAATTGCGGTGGCTGCACGGCGATGGCTGGCGCTTCGATGCGGTCGCGCTGGCGCGCGCAGGCTCGCGCGCAGAGCGACCAGCTGGTTTGGCGCGGCCAATTCGGCCGCCGTGGCGTTGACCGCTGGGGACTTCCCCACGCGTCTTGTAGTCCGCGCTTACGCGCGGGCACTTCCGTACAAGTTGGTAGGTCGGGTTGGCGACGTCGACCTCGGCAAACACGACGATGATTGTAGCGATGATGCTTGTGACGACTGTGGCGATGACGATGACCAGGCCGATGACGGCACCGATTCTGATTACCCCGATGACGATGATGATTTCAATGCGTCAGTGATGACGGTCTTGGAACACATGTATTTCGACATGCGCGCGGCCGACGCGCGCGAGTGGCCCGCATGTGATTCTATAACAGAGATCGCTGTTCCCCCCAACACGCGCGCAAGGGCGCCCGAGTGATTTGCACATGCGCTCGCGAGACGCACGTGTGGTCGCATCTGGTGAACACATGTTGAAAGCCGAATACCTGTCTACAGAATCGGAGAGATCGAGCGACCATATGTTTTTTGTTTGACAGTTCTCGTGGCACAGCCACGCGAGTTTATTGCTTATGTGTTTCGGGACACGCGAAAATGCAATCATTGCGAAACTTAAGGTTCTTTTGTTCTGTCGTGGTTTGGCATGCGGGCTCGACGACGCGCACGTGCGCAATACGTCCCAGTCTTGCAATGAGTTCTTGACAATGGGCGGTTGTTGATCATCGGGGGTGCTCGCATAGTGCCGTTTGCAGAGGATTGTGGGAGTGTCGAACCTGGCTTGGCTGGGATCATACGAGTTTAAATGTTAAGTGGGCGACGGGGTAGAGCCATATGTAAATTGCACATCCCCAGGGTGAGCGGATAAATCAGTTTTCAGGAGGGTGGTCCGATCAGTCTTTGTGTTGAACGGAGAACTTATGCTGTGCCAATTATGTTGCGCAAGCTGTGCGGAAGAACCTATCCGGCGGCGACAAGGCGGCGATGGGGCGACGACGGCGGCCATATAGCCGCCAGAGCGGCACATGGGCACACACGACGGGCGGCGACGAGGCGGTGACGGGGCGGCGATGGCGGCCACTTTGCCGCCAGAGCGGCACACCAGCCCAGTTCGTTAGAAAACAATATCGAACCACTCTGTGCAAGCACTGTTCTGGTAAAAGTGTGGCCCCGGGCAGGCCTCGGCGCTGGCAGCCGCCGATGGCGAGTGGCTGCTCGACGATGCCTTGCAGGAGGTGCGGCTGAAGGAGTTCGAGCCCGACGACGAGGTGATGGAAGTGAAGCTGAGCGTGCTTTTCGTCATCATGTTCGCCCCCATCATGCCCGAGGGCGTCTTTACCACGCTCCTCGGCAGGATGGTCGAGAACTGGGGCGACTTGGCCAAGCTGATCTTCGCGCGGCGGCGCCCGTTTCCAGATCACGGCACAAGCGTCGCCGCTATGCACGTAGAGGTCAGGGGTTTTCTCGCGTCGGCGGTGGCGCTCAAGGCGAGTTGGTCATTGGTCTTGTCCTTTGTCGTCTTCTCCAACGAGTGATGACACGGCTGATGGGTCGCGCTGGGAGATTGGGTGCCAAGAGACGGCTTGTTTGTCCGGGAATCAGATCGTGGGTGGACAGAACCCCCACCCTGACACGTCGATTAGCGAATTGTCCGTCTTCGATTCTCGAGAGGGCACCGCGGCCGTCATTTTCCAGGCGTGCGCCCGCCAGGTTTGGGACCGAGGTCTATTTCACTAAACCACGCTTTACTGAAGGGGGTTCTGTCCATCCCCGATAAGAGTCGCCGTGATGAGTGGGTAATTCGAGCACACACGTTTGGCCGGCGACGATAAGGGCGAACAGCCCAGGGGCGGGCATTCAGCGCTTTTGCCCGGGAGCCCTTTCGAAGGCATAGATCATAGGCGCACCTGAGTACATGTATTGCCTTCCCCTTGGCTATTCAGAAACTGGGCGAGGGCTGCTGAAAGCGTGGCTGCTAAAACGGCCCTCCCGGAAGGAAAAAACAGCTTCCCGGAATGAGGCGCGGCACGCGAAACAGTCCACGGGCTTCTTCCCGGAAGGACGAGGACAACTTCCCAGAGGTCGACTTTGGCAGCCACGGATCTAGCAGCCCTCGCCCGGCTTCCGAGCTACTCGCCCCCGTCCTCGCCTCTGGATGTCTTGTTCGCGCAGCTGCCGCCTGGGTCTTCCTCTCAACCTGCGGTGCTCCGCGTGCGCAGGTGCAGCCTGCCACGGCTGCCGGCCTCCGTGTCGTCGCTTGGCCCGGACGCCCGACGTCCTGACAGAGTACAGCTTCCGTCGGGGGCGGCAAAGAGGGGGGGTGATGACCAGGGGGGGGGGGGATATCCTGGCGTGAGCCATGATATCTCCTCAGATTTCGTGGCGCCTCTTCTTATTTCATTACGTTCCTGGCCCCCCCCCTGGGCCGCGCACATGCCGCCGGCCATGATTTGCGCCCCCCCTCTTGGACGCCCCCCTCTTGGCCGCCCCCGATTTCGACAGGGCTGTTTCGTTTCCGTTTTGTTTTCGTGTTCCCTCGTTTTGTTTTCGACCCGCCTTCAACGCAACAAGATATCGAAACGAACACGGCCCACGAAATCGCCTGGCCTCCGATTCTTTGTTTGAACGGTCCCCTGGGGGCATTTTCGGGCTCAAGGACGGAACGTCCAGACTCGATCCAAGACGGATAAGCTGTCCTCGGCAAGTGGTCGATGGCTTCAAGGCCCACGTGCTGCACAGAATTCAGGAGATCGTTGGCCTGTGGACAGGGTCAGCGCCCCAGCCATGCCTCGGAGCCACGTGCCATTTGGACCAGCGGGGGGCGCAACTGGCGAGGATGGATCACTGGATACGTCAATGTACGCGCCCCGCCCAACCCTCACCCCGACCGAAGACAAACATGGCGCGTGTGTGTATGCCTGTGTGTATCTGAGTGTGAATGTGTGTGTGTCGGTGTGTGTGTGTGTGTGCGGGACCTGAGATCGTTCCCCCCACTCTGGGGAACAAGGGCCCCAAGAATCGCACTTCGGCAGGCCCTTCTGGCGGAAATGATGGGTGGTTATGTGTGTCCGCGCGCGCTTGAAGCAGGACGAGAGGCCAAGCGCGGCGCGCGCCCCGTCGCAGCCCTGCTGCAGAGAATAGGACTGCGACTGCCTGCGCGGGCAGGCTCCTCGCAGGGGGCCGGTCCTACGGACGCAGCGTGCAAGCTCTCCTCTCCTCTCGCCCCTTGCCCTCCGTGGCCTTCCCCCCCTCCCCAGCTGTCTCGCGTCTTCTGCAGGGCGCGCCGGCCTGACTCTGACAAAGGTTGCTGCCAAGCAGCATCAGCAGGGAGGGCGCCAGGCAGTCGTGAAAAGCAAGGCAGGGAGAAGGAGAGAAAGAGAGAGTGTGAGAGAGAGAGATAGAGCAAAGAGACAGCGATACACATATATACATATGCACGAACATATAACATGAGAGAGAGAGAAAAGGAGAGAGAGAGAGATGCATGTATACATACACATCTACATATCGCTAAATACTTATATATATATAAAGAAGCATGGAGGAAGGATAACGAATGACATTAGCATAGCGGCGATGCCAGAAAAGGCAACCAGGAGTTATCGCTATATTGTCGGCTTAACCTTCCTGCTATTCCGCCTGCGTACCAGATTTCAAGGACCAAGGTGCATGCCGCGAAGCGCCACTGCAGTCGTGTGTATATATATATGCTCGCACCCCCCAAGTTCTATATTTTCGTGCCCTGTTCATGTCTTCCACTCATATCTTCCTCATCCTCTTCTTTGCTCTCCATTGCCCTCCCGCTCCCAGGTGGCGAATTGTTCCAGTCAGATACGGGGCGACATGTTCCAAGGGGCGAAAGGCTCCAAGGGGCGAAACGCTCCAGATACATAGGGGCGAACTGCTCCATCCAGAGACGGGGCGACATGCTCCATCCAGAGACGGGGCGAAAGGCTCCAAGGGGCGAAGCGCTCCAGATCACACAGGAGCGAAATTCCCCAGTTCTGTGTTGCATTGCGTTGGATTGCATTTGCACTGTTGCAGTAGAATGCTTTCCAGTACAATACGTGCATTCTCGACCCTTCCTTCCTCATCAATCGCATCATCCTCCTCCTCCTTCTCCTCCTCCTTCCTCCTCCTCCTCGCCCTCCCCCTCCCCATCCTCATCCGCCTTTATTTCCTCCTCCTCTCCCTCCTCCTCCCCCTCCTCCTCCTTCTCCTCCTCCTCCTCCTCATCCTCCTCCCCCCTCCTTCTCCTCCTCGTCGTCGTCCTCCTCCTGTACCTCCTCCTCCTCCCCATCCTTCTCCTCATTCTCCCCCTCCTCCTCCTCTTCCCTCCTCCTCCTCGCCCTCCTCCTCCTCCTCCTCCTCCTTCCTTCCCCTCCCCCCCCTCCTCCTGCCCCTCCTGTTCCTCCTCCGTCTCCCCCTCTACGCTTCTCCCCCCTCGCCCTCACTCGCCTTCCACGCAACTTTTTCTTCATGTTGCAGCGCGTTCTGGCCCGAGCCTGCTTCGTTGCAGAACTCGCGGCGCAGCTTCCACGAACCCTCGCGGCAGCAATGCCGATGATGCTCCGCCTCGCCTCCTGGCGCGCCGCCAAGGCGCAGCACCCGCTCCTCAACAAGCCCAACGCCGACATGACGGCGGCGGCGGCTAACTGGGGCGTCGCGTGCGACGGGGCAAGCGGAGTCGCGCCCCGCTTCAACCCTGAGGACCTCCCGTGGGGCTTCCGGAACTGCCTCCGCTTCTTACTCCGCCAGCGGTACCACTGGGCGGGCGACAAGCAAGAGTTCGAGGCCCAGGTGGCCCTCGAGATCGGCGGCGACGCGCGGAGCATGGCCACGGACGCTCCTGCGGCGTGGGCGGCGAGGCCCGAGCAAACAGGAACAATAACATACGCACGCACCAAACGACAAACAAACCAGTTACGTAAACCACATCAATATAAACCACGAGGCTCTTGCAGCTCGCCATCCAGACCACCACGTTGCACGGCTCCACCACGGTCGGTTGTTTCTTTGTGTCTGGCACCAAGATGGCCTACTGCCACGTCGGGGACGCATCCATCCAGGCATGGCGCAAGTCGGCTCTGACGGGAAGCTACGCGCGGTTATTTATCACCAGGGACCACCGCGTCCGCATCGCCACGGCTTCAGGCGAGGTGATCGGTCCGAAGCAGGTCGCGTTTTTGCCTGGCGTGGCCAGGATTGGCGTTGATCTGGAGCGCGCCGTGGCGCAGGCCGACTACGGCGCCGTCAATTTGAACCCGAGAGACATCATCATCTGCTGCTCCGACGGCATCGTTGATAACGTGCCCTGCGAGAGCTTCAAGGTCATACTCGCAGGCACCGACGATGATGTTCACGCCGCGGCCGACCAGATGGTCAAATGCGCGCAGCTGCGCGGCGCGCCCAAGCCCGGCGACATCTCGATCGTGATCGGCGTCGTCGGGTGCGCGTGAGGCCTCGGATTTTCTCGACGAGCGCATTTGGACCGCCACAGACGCAAAAGGGACCCACGAACTAGATTGAGCAACCGTAGTTTTTATATATATATATAATCCTGGCCGCCTTCCGTGTTTGTGTGGTCGCGAGACCTTGGGTTCCTTCGGCAAAGACCGCCACTGTTGCAACCGACGCGCGTACCTCGGCCGCCAAAGACCAATATGAGAGCCACGGGCTTCATAGAGCAGCCGTAGTTGATATTAAAAAAAAAAAAAATCATTCGCGCCGCCTTCCGTTTTTGTGTGGTCGCGAGACCTTGGGTTCCTTCGGCAAAACCGCCACTGTTGCAACCGACGCTGTTATTTCTTGAGATTCCTAAGGCAACCGAAGGAAGGTGGCCACCAAACGCTGCTATTTTCTAAGATTTCTCAATTTTCTAAGATTTCCGCAACCATCCCAAGGCCCTGCGGAGCAGCCGCGCGCACACAGCAACCCAGAATGGTCGCCAAACGCTGCTATTTTCCAAGATTCCGAAGGCAACCGAAGGAAGGTGGCCACCAAACGCTGCTAGTGTCCCAAGATTTTTAAGATTTCTATGATTTTCGCAACCTTTCAGGCCAGCTTGGGGATGGTTGCGGAAATCTGAGAAATCTTAGGAATCTTAGAAAATCGCAGTGTTTGGTGGCCACCTAATCTTAGAACACAGTAGCGTTTGGTGGCCATTCAGGGTTGCTGTGTGCGCGTGGCTGCTCTGCAAGGCCTTGGGATGGTTGCGCAAATCTCAGAAATCTAGAAAATAGCAGTGTTTGGTGGCCACCTTCCTTCGGTTGCCTTAAGAATCTAAGAAAATAACAGCGTTTGGTGGGCATTACTGGCCACCAACACAAACAACGCAAAGCTTCCTTAGAGGAACTTAGTCTTCAGACCCCATCAAAATATAGATCTTGGGGGGGGGGCGACCACACACACACACACACACATATATATATATATATACATTGTCATGTCCTCCGACCAGTGCCGCCGATCTGGGGGCCTCTGGATTCGGTGATCCTCGCGGCTCTTTGGCCTCCTCGCTCCTCGATTCTTCGGG